AATGGTCAGACACCATGATATGCTCGTGGGCTATTTACAGATTAGTAAAAGGGCTTGGGACTAGAGTGAAATGATCGCAAAATGCCCACGGGGTTGTAGAAATGGCACGCATGATTACAAAACTATGACAAATCAAACCGAATGTACATTATGTACTATGACGTAGAAGATCTCGTGCCAAAGTATGCCAGGTGGGTGTGGTGCCTGGTTTTTCAGTTTACTGAGATTCGTTGAACAAAAAGGTAGAGTTATGTGGTGCTACATGTGCTGGATATTGGAAACCTCTGATTGCTAGCTGAAAGATATGTAAAACGGATATATTGATACGTATGATTGCGTGACAATTGACGGAAGATTATGATAAATCGTCCTCATCTGAGGCATACCTTCTGAGTAGGGAGGGAGGCGTGGGGGTCGAGAAATCTTCTAGGAGATGAGCAAATGGCAATAACCCTGAATCCCGCGGACACCTGCAGGGTACCCCAACACATATCACTATCAACCTTCCAGCATAAAAAATGTGGCGCAGTCACGGAGGGATATCCGATGGGGTATTGGCTATCAATCATCTATCTGTCAGGCACATGCAACTATTGCCAAATAGAACAACATCTCGACACGTTCTTGACTTGCATTGGGGCAAGCTTAATCAGAATAAGCTTTAGTTATTGGTGAAAAATGTAACGTGCTGTTCTTTGAGCGCACATGACTGTAGAAATATGCACGAATTTCACCGTTTCTTCTGGATTCCCCGGGTCATGCACAGTGAGTCACGAACGTGCACGAATTTTATAATGATTTTTCTGGCGTGCGGACAAATCATTCCGCGGCCAGATTTGTGATTGCGCCACTTTGATAGTGATTGCCTATGCAGAATTTTTGTCTGATGTATGCACAGCCTGCGTCACGTTGCTCAAGGGTATTCATTGTGAGCAATTGTTCTTTGGACCCTTTGACTCACATATTTGACCGCTCCTATTGATTCTCCCCAATAGTTATCGCGGAGAATTGCGTAGACTTACGCGCTCAAGCATTCAAGAACAGAAGTCCTTCGTAAAAGGAATCTTTTCATCGTTTTCCATCCTCCCAATACCCATGTCCAGTGTTCTCTCGGGCCGTCGCTCGCGTTCAAACCGCGGGCGGTCTATCACTCGTGTTCCACGCACATTCCATGAGCCAGAATCCGACGAGGAGCTCTCATCATGGATTGCTGATGATATTTGTACGCGATGCGGCGCCCATGCACCACATGGAAAACTCTACTGCTCTACACGCTGCTGGGACGAGGATGCGCAGGCGCAGGCCCAGGCAATCAAGACTGACAATGAAGTAAAGCCATCCCGCTCGTTGGAGCGACTGCGTTACCCTACATCAATTTCCCCTCACAGTCATTCTACAGTTGGACGTATGACTTCTATTATGTTCTGCAAGTCTGCGCCTAGTTCAGTGAACGACAGGCGGCTTTATACACCTGGAAGCGATGACGAGCATGTGGCACAACGACCAGCCCATGTCCGCCACAGTTCTTCCTCGAGCCAGTCATCTTCGGAAGAGAATGAGCTGGAAACTACTACCCCATCCCCATGGCAGACTGGAATTGTGATGGACGATGACCTGAATAAACTGGACGATGCAGAGCTGGAGCTTCCTCCACCTGTGTTGGCTTCAAATCACGTACTGCTCCGTCAGGGCGCTACTCGGAAAGGAACACAGGTTGTTCCTACTGTCTTTCCTTCACATTCTCCTACAATACTACCAAACCGAGTGCGCTTTAGCAACGAGATCCAGTTCAGTCGTCGGCCAGCTACCACAAATATGCCCTCTCCTATTGTTTTTACCCCTTCGGGAAACTCTCCAAATATGGCTCGGACACTCTCTGAAGGGGCACTCCCTGATGGGAGAGATCGTTTCCCCCGTACTACAGACCAAAACCGTCTGGGATTTTTCGGCACATGCAGCAGTGCAAATGCCAGTTGCAGCGTGACGCGCACCAACTCAATCTCGCAGGACGACAACCAGGACAAATGGAGGAGTTGGAAGCAATCACACGTTGCGAATGCAGATGTTTCTTCGAGTGAAGGTATTGACTGCGAAGCTATGGAATGCCCGGTTGAGCCGGGGCGTGAGCAAACTAGCACGCCTGACTCGAAAGGCAAGCAGGTGTTTGGCGAGGGCCGCGGCCGTGGCCTGGAGCGTACTGGTAATGCGTGCGGTGCACGCACCCAGCGCTCGCCACTCTCTGCAGCCAGCAGTAGCCCCACAAGAGGCCGCTACTGAATACACAAGATAGATATACGCGAGGTGTCGTGATACTGTATACCCAATAGAAACGCCTACAGAGAAAAACTTGACGACGAGTTGACATAAGCACAAACCCCACACGCTAAACGCGTCGTGGCCCCTCGCATGGGCTCAGAGTAGTGAGTAGATTATCTCACCAGCGAGCAAGAGCGCCTGCAGAATATTGCAGAGAATGAGCGGCTACTCAAAGAGCTTGGCATCGTAGGTGGCAGTTCCGTGCTAGGTATTGCCCCTGCTAAGCGCCCGAACGATGGCGATGGGGGACGTGCGAAGCGCCACGAAAAGAAGCCACGCGAGAAGCGCATACTTCCCCAACGTACCAGTGCACGGTTACAAGGAATCAAGTTGGAGGATGTAAAGCCAGAAAAGCAGGCACCAAATACTCCGTCCCCGGATGTACAAGCCAGGCACGGAGATCTCAGCTTGGGTGACCTTGCAGATCTCGACGAGGATGAGCGCAAAGCGCTCAAATCTACACTCAAAGTCGAGCCCGTGAAACAAGTGTCGCCCCCGCAGACTCCCTTGGAGGAGATACTTGCTTCGATGAAGTTAACAAGCCACAATCGAGTTGCCCAAAAGCGTATCTATTCTATGCTGTACCATCCAACCCTAGACAAAGATCTGGTTTTTACCGGAGACCAGGAAGGCATGCTTGGCATCTGGGATGCCTCACAAGGGGAGGCTACAGACGGTGTTCATGAAGGGACCACCTACCAGCTACGAATCCACACCAAGTCTATTGGGGCACTGCGTCTTGATCCGATGCGGCAGGACCGTATCTATTCTGCATCCTACGATGGCAGCATTAGAGTGTTTTCACTCGTGGAAAATACGAGTAATCAAGTGTGGAGTGGCCAAGAACATGTACAGCTAGGGGTGTTTGATATCCTAACGGGCGCCTCACCCCAATTAGACCACGCTCTGTGGGTTGCGGACCACAAAGGCGGTCTTATTCATATCGATGAGCGCGCCAAGAGTGTGCAGCGATGGCAAGCAAGTACAAGCAAGATCGGGGGCATGTCTGTATGGTCTCGCGAGCCGCACTGCATTGCAGCTGCTTCAAATGATCGTACTATAAGCCTATTTGACGTGCGTGCAATGCGCACACTAGAAGAGACCAAGCTGGCACCCGCAAAGCTGGCCGATGATGATGCATCCGTGTCACAGCTACAGGGTGCTGCGCGATTTGGGTCGTGTGAGTACGGCATGGCATGTACGGACGTCAGTTTCAGTCCAAATGGAGATCATCTTGCTGCGCTGTCGTACGACGACACTGTATCCATCTGGGAAACTGCAAGCATGTATACGCCCAAGAAAGAGAAAAACACGCTGTTAGGGTGGCTCGCGAAGGATTCGCCCGATGGCCAGCTTAATAATATTCTCGACCAACCTTCCGCGTCATTTGCGCACAACAACAAGACGGGCAAGTGGGTGACGCTGTTCCGTGCGCATTGGCATCCTAATGCCGCGCTCCAGCCCCACTTTGCGGTCGGCAGCATGGAGCGACATGCCGAGATATATGCTCCAGACGGGCGCCTGCTTGCTTCGTTGTACGATCCAGACTGGATAACTGCGATACAGGCTGTAACTGCTATGCATCCACTTGTTCCAGGACGCATGGCCACAGGGAATGGCTCGGGGCGGTGCGTGCTGTGGACTCCCTAAGTGTATGAAGCGATCTCCACTGCATCCAGTGCAGTGTGTGTAGTGAATGGGATGTCATAGATGACGTTCGACGGCAGGAAAAACTCGATCCAGGGAGAGAGGGGGTATAATGCGGGGTGGAACGGGTCATACAGCGTCGTCAAATGCGCATGCTGTGCCACAGTTCGACAGATGTAGAGCAACGTAAGCAATACAGCGAATACAGAAACTGGCCACAGGAAGATGCGATTGATGCCCTGGCCATGCGGGCGGCTCCTTGGCCGGTGGATTCTTTGTGTATGCGTTTCTGGCCGGCTCGACGGCTTGGACGTGTCGGCATGCTGCTCGGTATCAGCTGGAGGAACATTCTGCTGCTCGATTGCATTGTGCTCGATCATGTCTTTTGGCTCCATGTACGATGTGGCAAGGGAGCCAAGACGCTCGCGGATGTGATTGAGTCGCTCAGCAAACTGTGCATCGTCGATGCTCAGCCTTTCGATGCTCAAGTCCATGGGACGCAGGTCAGGAAGGGTATGGTGGACAAGAGCGCCGATACTGTCCGGCTGGATAGCTGTCCAAAGTGCCGCCTCCTCAGTTTTAGCGTCAAGAGCACGGCTCTTTACAGCGCTCTTCAGTGCGGCAACAACGTCATGCAGCTCTTTGGCAGTCCTTGGAGTTTGTGAGCCAGCATCGACAGTCGCAGGAGCCTTTGCGCTTGTGTTTATCGAGTCGCCACTTGGATGCACGATTTTGGCAGGCACATCCTGAATTTGAATCGAATCATCAATTGACGGCACATTGTCAGAGATGTCAAAGTGCTCCTTGATCGGTGTCGAGCTAGCTGGAGGAAGCGGCGGGATAGTAGTGCTGATAGATACTTGTTGTTCTGTGGCTTCCTGCCTGTCCTCCTCGAGCACCTGTTTGTATACTTCAGTGAGGCTTTTACGCTTGCGCAGTGTCGAATGCATAAGTAAGCTTTGGCGCGGGGTGTTTCAATATGCAGGGCACGTTTGGAGATAGTATAAGCGCCAATCTGTTGCCCCGTAAACAAGAAGGGTCCTGTAGGATAACGGTCAGTCCGAAGGTTTCTGATTACTCAATCCGAATTCCTTAAGCCGCGGTTCGACTCCGCGCAGGACCTTCTAAAATATCTGGTCCTGTAGGATAACGGTCAGTCCGAAGGTTTCTGATTACGCAATCCGAATTCCTTAAGCCGCGGTTCGACTCCGCGCAGGACCTCTTCTTTTGCTGTGCTGTTTGGTTGTTTCTCTTTCGTTTTGCCGTGCTGCCAGTCTGCTGCGCAATTCGGTTGATCGGGGCGGATTAGCAAAGGAGTGACTGGCTTTTTGCATTGCAAGTGTGGTCCAAGCATCATCTATGTATACTTGGCTTATTCTACATGGGTATCATTTCTTTTCCTCCTCGAGTGGCTCATCCACCCAGCCACCGGTCAGGTCTGGCGGCAGCTCCTCCATTTGGACGCTTGGCGCTCCGTGCAGGTACCGCAGCTGCTCGTGGATCTGCACACGGATCCGCTCCAGCGATGCGCGCGTGTTTTGGTTTTCGACACGGGCGAGCAGCGGCTCGTGCAGACGGTGAGTCGGAGCAAAGAAGGCGTCGTATGGTGTGTGCGGCAGGTCATCTGGCACCTGAGTGCCAGTAAGCACGGACGTCTCGTACGTCCAGCAGCGTGCGACGTTGCGGATGGTATAGCCGCCGCCGCCAACAACGAGGAGGGGGATCCCAAATGCCTTGATAAACGAAACACATTCGCCGTGAGCCGCGATGCTCAGATTAAAGCAGCCGAGACGATCGAGACCAAGTGAATCGGCACCACACTGGAGCACAATTGCCCCTGGTCGGAAGGTGTTCATTACAGGCTCCATTACGCTCTTGAAGAGCGCGACATACCCACTGTCATCGATGCCGTCTTGGAGCGGCACATTAAGACAAAAGTGCTTGCCGGTGCCGATACCGACCTCGGAGATGTCACCGGTGCATGGGAAGAAATCGTTGCCGTACTTGTGGAAGGACACGGTCATTACGCGGTTCGACATGTAGAAGGCCTCTTGGACGCCGTCTCCATGGTGTACGTCGATGTCAATATAAAGCACGCGGGGAAACGTCCGCAAAAGTTCGAGGATCGCCAGGACAATATCATTAATGTAGCAGAAACCGCTGGCTTCAAACTTCTTTGCATGGTGGAGACCACCGGTCCAGTTTATCGCAATGTCTGTCGTGCCGGCAGCCAGTCGGCGAGCCGCCGCGAGGGACGCGCCGGCGTACGCGCGACAAAAGTCGTACATGCCATCAAACACCGGGCAGTCATCAGCGAAATTAAAGCGTGAAAACGCTGGTGACACTTGTGTGCTGGGCGTCACGGTGCTCAAAAAGTCGACATAGTCGCTGTCGTGAAATGTCTCGAGCTCTTCACGCGTCGCCCACCGTGGCGAATACACGCTCATGTACTCGTGCAGGCCATATCCATGCACGAGATGGTTCGTAAGCGCCAGTCGTGCGGGCTTCATGGGGTGTCGGACGCCGTAGTGGTAGTCAGACACGCCCGCTGTATAGTAATACGACACGCGTGGACTCGAGTGTGGTCTAGTCGACGACGCGTCCGCCAGGAGCGCGCCAGGAGTGAGCATGGACTCGCCGCCACTCGAGTATATCGAACGATCGTAGAAGAATGGCGCATTCGCCATTGTAGGCAGCGGTGGCGGCTCGGCTGCGGGGCCGGCGCCGTATTCGAGGACGACCATGATGGCACGTGGAGAAATTGGAGAAATTTGCCGCGATCATGGCTGAGCCATATGCGGCGGGTGCAAAATGGCTGCTCATCGTGGGCATGCTGGTGACCGGTATCTGCAACTCAATCTTCTCCAAATGGCAGGATATGCAGTGTGTCGAGCACTGTGGACCTGGCGAGAAGCCCGTTGAGTTTGCGCAGCCGGTGTGGCAGACGCTGCAAATGTTTGTCGGCGAGATGCTGTGTCTCATTCCGCTGATAATCAGGGCAGTTGTGCGGCGCCTGCGCCACCTGCCTGCCGAGCCGCACGAGCGCCAGGCACTTATGCCCCAGCTCGCGCCGACATACGGCAGTGCGCACGAGGGCCTGCTGTGGGTGAATGCATCGTCGGTGCATATCTACCACAAGCCGCAGCAGCCGGTGGAGATGTCTGCAGGCAGCTCTGCGATCCAGATCTTCAAGGACACCGTGGACAGACTGAGCCCTGCAGGCTTTGTGGGCACTATGCAGTTCCTATTCCCCACTATCTGCGACATTCTGTCGACGACACTGATGAATGTGGCGCTCCTGATCATGCCCGTGAGCGTTTTCCAGATGACCCGCGGCGCGCTCGTGCTCTGGGTCGGTCTGTTCAGTGTCATTTTCCTGCACTACCACATGCGCATCCACCAGTGGCTCTCGCTCGGCATGGTCATGAGCGGTGTCCTCGTCGTCGGTCTGAGCTCTCTGGTGCTGGACAAGCCCGCCCACACAGAAGCTACCGGCAGCAACGAAGCGCTCGGCACACTGATTGGTCTGGCTCTTGTGCTTTTTGCACAGGTGTTTGCTGCGTCGCAGTTTGTGGCCGAGGAAAAAATCATGGCCAAGTACGATGTGGAGCCCATGCTTGCGGTTGCGCTCGAGGGACTCTTTGGCACTCTGATCGTGCTTTTCGTCATGCCGCTGATGCACTACTTTGTCGGCAGCACCGAGTGGGGCCGGGGCGGCATGTTTGACATGGTTACTGCCTACCGCCAGATCACAAACTCACCCGGAGTGATGATCAGCATGGTTCTTGTCGCGCTGTGTATCAGCATGTACAATATGTTTGGTCTGAAGGTGACCCGCACTGTGTCTGCAACCGCACGCAGCACGCTGGACACGTGTCGTTCGCTAGGTATCTGGATGGTGAGTATCGCCCTTGGCTGGGAGCTGCTGCAGCCGCTGAGTGCTACTGTGCAGATCACCGGCTTTTCGATGCTCGCCTATGGCACGTTTGTGTTCAACGGTATTGTGCCCCCGCCCAAGTGGATGTCTTGCGGAGAGAGTCGCGAGACAGAGGCAGAAGCACCAGCTGAGGCTGATGCGGTGGTTGGGGCTGATGCGGAGGCAGACGCTGAAGTGGCCCAAGTATAGATTTCTACTGGAGGAGGATATACCACATACCCACGTAATCAAAATAGAGCTTCAAATAATACGTAATCTGAAACAGATTTATTTTATAATTCCAGATTTAGCTCGAGATTGGAGATTGAGCTTGAGGTTGAGGTTGAACTTGAACTTGGACTCGAGCTCGAGATTCAAATTGAAAGTCAGCAAGCAAACGAGGAGCAAAATAATAAAATCACATCTACATGCCAACATACAGGCTTACTATATATTTATTCGTTTCCAAAGCGCATACCTTCTTCGATCGCAAGCACAAGCTTGTTCTCGAGCACCTCGAGCGAGGGATAGGGTGGAAGGTCAATGCGGTTGAAGCATGTGTGTGACTTGGGGAGGTGATTGATCTCACCAGACTTTTCGATCGTGAATCGCCGTGGGCCATCAGAGCCTTGCAGGTCCTTGAACCCGTTGACAGGAATACGCGAAGTGCCAGTCGCAAATTGGAGCAGCCGCGAGCGCTGCTCTGCGGGCCACTTTTGGACACACTCCCAAAACCACTTGACCACGTCGTCCTGCTCGCTAAAGCCACGGTAGTCCGTGAAGCGCTTCCAGTCATCGACATCGATCTCGCTCATACCACCCATGAGCAGCTCGAGCTCACGCTCGTCAAACACGTTGATCAGATCGAGAGGGATGAGCTCCGAGAAACCGGCGATGAAGGCACGGAACTGCTCCTCGACGCGACGAACAATACGCCACTCGATCATCTTTTCGACGTATTCGCGCTTGTTCTCGTCCGTGACGGGGATATCCTCGCCACCAGGCTTGAGCTCAATGGTGATAAGCTCACCGAACTTGTCCTCGATAGCCGAGAACGTCTCCTCGACAATACCCTCAATCGGGTTGTCAAGCATCCACTGCAGCGAGCGGTGGTAGTCTGCGTCGACACTCTCAAGGTCGGACAGCGTGATCTTCTTCTTGAGGATCATCTTGTAGAACGACACGATAAAGTGTGCGTCAAGGAAGCGGCGGTGGAAAATAGCAAGACCAAGGACACGGCCAATAAACTTAAAGTAGTTGAGATGCTCCGGGTTAATGCCCGAGTGGGGGTTGATCTGAAGAGTGTAGTTGTCATGAGCACTGTACTCAAAGAGACAGTAGAAGGGGTTGAACATCTCGTGCGAAAGCAGGAAGAAGAACTCACGCGAAACACCACCATAGTCGAGCGCATCCTCGCCCTCGAACTTGATCATGAGACGCTTCTTGAGGTCATTAGGCTGTTGGCGCATAATCTCGGCGTACGAGTCCTCAAAGATGTGCGTGCGGCGGACCTTCACGTGACATTGACCGGGAATCGGGCGCAGCGCCGGCTGCGACCTAAAGTAGATGAGCTTGCGCCTAAAGTCGCGCTTGTACTGCGGCACATTCTGGTCCAGACTGCTGGGGAGACGGGGGTCGTCCCACGTAGTCGTCTTGGTGTTGTGGTCCACAAAATAGACGCGCGCCGTCGATGTAAGACGCATTTCCCAGCCACTGGGCAGCGGTCCGAGCTGGCTCACGCTCTGGGGCTGCAGACTGAGGTTGTTGCCGTTCGGGCCCATGATGCGGAGGATCTGCTGGCGGCGGGGGTCCACCCATGTGGTGGTGCGCGTGTTGTGGTCCACAAAGTAGGGACGGCCCTCGGCGGTCGTGCGCTGCTCCCAGCCGCTGGGCAACGGACCTGCGCCGCCCGTCGTCGCTGTTGAAGTAGGCGCGATAGGTGTCGCGTTGCTGTTGTCTGCAACGCCCAAAAAGTCATCGGCAAGCGACCGTGTGCTCATCTGCGGCTGCGTTGGCACAGTGTTGCCTGTGGGCCGTGTCCAGGTGGTTGAGCGAGTGTTGTGGTCGACATAGTAGGTGCGGCCGAGATGGTCAGTGCGGCGCTCCCAGCCCGGCGGCAGAGGGCCCTGGTCGTCAGAGCGGCTGTCTGTCCTGGCGGGAGGAGCAGGGGACGGCGCATTCACGTGAGGCACCGCAGGGGCCTCACC